ACACACACACACACACATATATATATAAAATACTTAATTACACACATTTGAGTAGATGTAATAAATTACTTTAATTCCTGTTTAAATGCAATTCATCCTGCCATACCTGCAGTGTCTTCAGACTTTGCCAACAAATTAAAAGTTGAAGCTTAATCATTAAATTATTATCTTTGTGTTAGATTTATTTATAAATCACATTTAAACACTGCTTGTACCAATTAAATTAAATAAAAAGTAACACACACGTTCTCTATCACCGCCATTAATCAGATAAATAAACAAACAAACAAAAACAGCTTCATCTACCAGAGAGAATGACGTTACGTTTTCTCTCTTGGAAACAGAACAATGTGTTAAATTGTAGAGACTCACCTGCAACACGAGTTGGGAGTGAAACATGTTGTATCAGCTGCAGCTCGTGACTCCGACATGTTTACGTTTCATCTCCGTGGTTCTCTCGTGTCGTGTCGGTGATTTTCAAAGCGGCATGCTTCTCATTTTTTATCTTTGTGAAGTTCTCCCACTCTTTGGAGGACTTGGGTCGAACAGTTTTTGCTGCGTCGGTCATTTGTAAAATTTACTTAAATTTCCTTTAAAAACACCGCCACTGCTTTGCTCCCCCTTGCTCTGTTCAACTCGCGCTGCAGTTTTTTTTGTTGTTTTTTTCAAACTTTATTCAGTCAGTCAGCATTGACAATGAACTGCCTGTGAACAAAACGAAACGGCTCCGCAGCGCCGTGAAAGATGCATAATCGCGCGACACAACGAATTGATAACGAAATTTGTTGCCAACGCTTTTAATCATCGATTTTTATCGATTCGTTGTTGCAGCCCTATACACAACCATAACTAAAAATTGCAGTGAGACCAGAGGCCAACACTAACTGCAGTTATAAATCCTAAAGAGTGGTCATGAACATTTTTATGACATTTACAAACCGGATTCCAAAAAAGTTGGGACACTAAACAAATTGTGAATAAAAACTGAATGCAATGATGTGGAGGTGCCAACATCTAATATTTTATTCAGAATAGAACAAAAATCACAGATCAAAAGTTTAAACTGGGAGAATATATCATTTTAAGGGAAAAAATAGTTGTTTCCAAATTTCATGGCGTCAACAAATCCCAAAAAAGTTGGGACAAGTCCATTTTTACCACTGTGTGGCATCCCCCCTTCTTCTTACAACACTCAACAGACGTCTGAGGACAGAGGAGACCAGTTTCTCAAGTTTAGAAATAGGAATGCTCTCCCATTCATGTCTAA